CAGGGAGCCCGATGTGGGACTCGATCCCGGGACTCCAGGATCATGACCTGAGCTGAAGGCAGTCGCTTAACCAACTGAGCCACCCAGGCGCCCTGTTTGCTTTTTTAGACCTGTGACCTAAATTATTTTCACGTCACTAACATATAACTAACAATAACTGTCACAAAAACATCCTCAGCTTGCTTTGGTTGACACTGTGTATGTGGTGAGGCAAAATCTTAATACTAGCCCTAAACCAAACCGCAGCTATCACCCTTGAATGCTGAAAATGGATTCAAGACCTTGCAATGCATTCATACTTTTAAATCACCTCAGTAAAGGGCAGATTCTGTCTAATCCATTGGGTGACTAGACCTCAGTGAGCCAGATCTTTGTACACCTCCTGAATTTTCAGTTTTGAAAGGAGGAACCCACTTAGAAATCCAGGTGGCTACCTGCTTGCAGCAAATGCGTTTTTTTGTTTTTTGGTTTTGGTTATTGCTGTTCCTAAATTAGTTTCTGAATTTCCTTTATTATAACTTACTGTATACACTAAGATATTTGAAGTGAGAGCTTCTCTGAAGACATTCTAGAAAGATGAAGAACTACTTCCTGCCCTGCATAGTGATAGGGGTTGAGGGGTGGTCTGCCCTCAAGGAATTTCATTTTTCTATTACATAGGATCTAAAAGAAATGGAAAACATCAGCCAGACAGATTTTGTTTATTTTAACCACAGATTTTGTTTATTTTAACCAAAATAAATTCAGAGCTCCTGATTACTGTGGGGTTCTGCCCCTGTATCTCATACATGGTGACTATCGTATGTGCAAGCTTAAAAATAATGTAAAGCTTTTACATGTGGCTTTGTATTATTAAAAATAGCTGTGTAAAGATTAATGGATAAAGAAGATGTGGTTCGTATATACAATGGAATATTACTCAGCCATCAGAAAAGATGAATACCTACCATTTACATTGACATGGATGGAACTGGAGGGGATTATGCTAAGTGAAATAAGTCAAGCAGAGAAAGACACTTATCATATGGTTTCACTCAAATGTGGAACATAAAGAATAGCACGGAGGACCACAGGGGAAGGGAGGGAAAACTGAACGGGGAGAAATCAGAGAGGGAGACAAACCATGAGACACTCTGGACTCCAGGAAACGAACTGAGGGTTATAGAAGGAAGAGGGGTGGGGAGAAGGTAGCTGGGTGATGGGTATTAAGGGGGGGCACGTGATGTGATGAGCACTGGGTGTTATATGCAACTAATGAATCATTGAACATGATATAAAAAATTAATGATGTACTATATGTTGGCTAATTGAATTTAAATAAAAAAAAATAGCTGTGTGACTTTGAAAGCCAAGTTATAACTTCCACAAGAAACTAGAACAGGAATGGAAATTACAACATGGTGGAGTGATAACCCATGCTGCCAGTCTGAAACTTTTCTAAAGACTTTGCCTAACATGTTTTTCCCCCCACTAGGACAGTGGAGCATTGTTTTCACATGTGTGATAGAATGGTTATTTATTTCTTCATTGCTGCTTCTTATGCTCCATGGTAAGATACGCCTTTCTATTTTTGAAGGTAGTGTGTTTTGGGATAGAATTTCTGTCCTCCTTCCTTCCCTTCCTCCTTTCCCTGCCCCATGCGTATACCCCACCCCTCTCCCTCCAACACATGCATACATGTTTGTTTGTTTTTCTACTTGGGCCAGATTGCAGATTTTAAGGGAAGAATGTCACTGCTGTTCAGAATATATACCTGGCATTGGATTGTTCAAGAGGAAGTGCCAGGAACTTGTGTGTAGGTGGCAGCCTCATTTTGAAATATGTCACCTTTGCCTTCCATGTTCTTTCTATATACTGCGGCTGTTCAGAATACTTGGACATCTGATCATTTAAGTGGAAATGCTGTAAATATGTGTGAGGAAAACAGGCTCATTTTGGAAATTTATCCTATTTGTCTACAATTCACTCCACAGCACAGTAGCTGCTATATATGGAGTGCACTTCTCATTTCTTTAGCCGTACAAGTAAGAGAACTAATTAGTTAGCTATTTAAAACACCTAGTATTCTGGCTCAGTGGTTGGAGCCTGCAACTCTTGATCTCAGGCGGTTGGGGGGGGGGGCGGTGTGGAGGAGGGGGTCGTGAATTTGAGCCCCATGTTGGGTGTAGAGATTACTTAAAAAAAAAAAAAATGAAATACTAAAAAAAATAAAATACCTAGTATTCTATTCAATTTTTGCTCTTTCTGCCCTTTGGGTATAGGTCAGATAGAATCTTTTGTTGCCTGGAAACCTATGATTAAAGGAACATTAGATTCCCTCTATCAAGACATGGTCCAGTTTTAAACACTCAGAAATTCATTTTGTGAATTTCAACTGCAGTAGTCACTAGAAACAGCAGGCCTCTACTTTCTAACTTATGCAGCATCAGTCATTAAAAAGAAACCTAATTATCTGTTGGAGTAAAAAAGTGTCTTCTTTCCCTAATACTTGTCACTAAATTATAGCTCTGCATCATATTGGAGCAGGAACACTTACAGACTTTTGGGAAGTATTCCCTGACTTAAAATAAGGAAATAAAATTTTTAAAAGCTGAGGGATCAGATATTACAGTAAGCAACCCATTCACATGTTGTTTTCAATAGGTAGGTGGTGCCTTTTCTGTTTGGAAATAATTTTGTAGTCATAGCCGATCAGAATAACGTTTGGGTTTTTTTTATCATAGCTATTCTTAATATGAAATGAGTACAAATGAATTTGCAGCATCTTAAATTTCAAGCTTTACAAGAGCCCACAGTTAAATTCTGACAAAATGTCTTTCATAACATATGTTGAGCTAACTCTTCTCATGTTCTCCCTTGGCAGAGATATTGGGAATGGAGATACTTGGTCTATGTATTAGGTATCTGCTGTGGGTATGGGATCCTGGTTGAGGATTCTGTTCAGGGTACTCATTAAGCTTTGTAAGCAATCTGCTCCCAAATATATTATCAGAATTAAGCTGATTTGACAGCAGTCTGCCTAATAAGGAAAGTCGGGCATCACAGGTGTGGTGGGACTCACTTCTGCATATCTCCTTTTAGCTAGTTCTATTTTTAAACCACATTGGAACTAATTCTAAGTCTTAAAGGTCAACTAACAATTTTATCTTTGAATTATTAATTTTACCTAAATTGCCTGAATACCTCCATGGCATGTTGAATACCTTTTCATCCTGGTTTTATGCTAGCACTTGCTTGCCCAGTTTTCAAGCCTAGAGGAAAACACAGGTCCTGTGAATTCCCTTCATTTATCACTTCTGTTCTTTTTTGTCATGTTTACATTTTTTTAGGTTAAATCTCCGTGAACTTGGACCCCTGGCATCTCATATGCGTTGGTTTATCTGGCTCATGGCAGCTGGAGGAACCATTTATGTATTTCTCTACCATGAAAAGTAAGAGAAAATAATTTACATTTGATAGTTTTAAAATTAACTACCTAAATTTTGTTGATGTTACGACACAGTTTGCTTTATATTTACACTTCAGAAGAGTAGAAATACATAAATAGAATATATATTGCTTTTAACAAATCTTTGAAGCCATTTGGTGTTCATTATTGGTAGACAGATTGCTGTGGGAAGAACTAAATGGCACATGTGTGATAGGATGCATTTGAGGGACAGACCAACTGCCATTTTAGTCAGTCGGATGTCACTTCCCATCCTCAGGCGACTGGCCTTATCAGCAAACTAGCCTTTTCCTCTGTGATCCATGAGAATAAAAACTGCTTTTTGAGCTTTCAATGAAGATTGAAGATAATAGATAAGCACTGGAACAACACTTAACCTAGATAGGAACCCAGAAGATGTTCCAAACTAGGATTCCCTGAGAAAGGGGATATTTGGAAGAGCATCTGAACTCTTAATATCCTAACCATGGGGCACATTTTTTAACCCGTTATTTATAGTCCATAGTCATAAGTATTAAGCAATATAAAAAGGAAAGCTTATTGAAATTTAGCATCACAGCTCTAGAGGAGACCTTCAAAGTCATCTATTCCAGCTTCATGCTTAAAAAAATGAGACCATTTAGGATGTGCATCAAATTAGTGATTCATCTAGAATTAGGACCCAAGAGTCTTAGTTCTTACCCCATGGCTCTTTTCATTATTTCACATGCCTGAATTTGAGAAATTCACAAGCATGAAATCATTGTCCTTGAGTACAGTTTATTAGCTTATCTATTGTCATTGGCAGAATGGCTCTAAGAATTGAACATAATTTGTGTTTATCACAAAGTATTGTTTCCTCTTTTCAGAAGAAAATGGCAGTTTTCACTAACTTATGACTTTGAAATTCACTTAAGTTGCCTTTTTGACCACAATTAGCTATTCTGAGTGGTGTTATATGTATATATATAAATCCGAGGGAACAGTTTGCTTCTTGGGCTCAAACCCCTAACTTATATCCTTGGATAAAATAGAAAGTAAAGTAAAATAGCTATTTTTTCTCCTATTCCAGGCCTCCTTTTACACCAAACCCACAAACCCATTCTTCCCCAGTTCCCTGATAAGATTACTTCATAGTGGACTCTGAGTATAAAACACGGAGAATGAGATGTGAATGGCCCCTGGCCATTTGGTTGGGCAGTATTAGGGAGGGCCTAAATCATGCCAGGTACTATGCTAGGCCTTGCAGATACGAACATAGATGAAACTTGGCCCCTGCCTCCAAGGAACTTAGAGCCCACTTTGATTAGGCAGAAATGTGAGCTGAATCTTAGTACAGTGTATTTCTTAGCATTTTCAGACATTCTATAGCCTAATGCGATGAGCCTTACAAGTTGGAGTTTGTGCAGATGCAAAATAAAGAGACAAACAAAACTACATGCCCTTCATTCCTTAGGGCTAACATCCCTTTGCCACTGATAAACTCGGCCCCACGCAGCATCCCTGTCTGTCTTCATAAGTTCAGTTTTTTTTTTTTTTATTAAAGATTTTATTTATTTATTTGAGAGAGAGAGAGCACATGAGAGGGGGGAGGGTCAGAGGGAGAAGCAGACTCCCTGCTGAGCAGGGAGCCCGATGCGGGACTCGATCCCGGGACTCCAGGATCATGACCTGAGCCGAAGGCAGTCGCTTAACCAACTGAGCCACCCAGGCGCCCCCATAATTTCAGTTTCTTATAGCTGTGGATTGGAGTGGTGAGGAGGGCAAACACTCTGGAATTGGGAGGGGGAAAATGCATGGTGGATTGGATGCAGTAATAACACTTTTGGTAGCAAACATTTTCCAAGTCGCATGTGGTGTTTGATGCCATTTCAATCCTGTAAGAAATGCTAGTTCATTGTGACCCAACTATAGTATTTTAATTAGAGGCCTAGTGGTCTCCTGGGAAAATATATTCTTTGGAATAGTTTAAGAGTTTGCATTTCTTTTTCAAAAAAAAAGGTGGGGGGAGCTGGAATGGAAATTGTCATAAGTATTGTAGGAATAGATACAATTAACTGCCTTTCTATCCTGCAGGTATAAGGTGGTTGAGCTCTTTTTCTATCTCACAATGGGGTTTTCTCCAGCTTTGGTGGTGACATCAATGGTAAGAAATGGCTTCATAATTTTAACTATTTCACCTTATTTCCTTTTAAATTGTTGCGACTCTTCATTGGTCCATAGATATGATATGCAGCTTTTCTTTCTGAAGTTGTGACATCTCCATTAACTCCAAAGAAAAAGTATATAAATAATAAAGTGCCTGCAATCGATACTAGCTCCTGGTTGTAGTTTGGAGAAGTTATATACTGAAGTGTATTTCTTTCCATATGATAATCTTCTCTATGTGTTGCTTTTGGATAGCCATTCTGTTCACCCCACCCCTACCCCACCCTTCTCCCAAAGAGGCATGAGGTCACCTGCAGATAAGTATTTTTGCCTGAATTGTTTAGTGTCTTAACTATAAATCCATGGAGGAGGGTAAATTTTTTTGATGTCTTACAATGAAAAAAAAAAAAACCCTATAAATTATTGACTTCTTAAATCTTAAAAATTAGAAGGACCACAAGAGGTCAGTTGTGTCAACATTTTATTTAGTATTTCCCAAAAGTCTTCATTCTTACTTTTCTTTCACTTGCTTTTAAGTCATATATATTATTTCTCTTTCTCAGGAAAGTGCTTTTTTTTTTTTTTTTTTTTACTTTGCTTGAAAATTTCTTTTGAGGACTTTCATGGGTGGAAGTAACATTACCTATATTAGGCAGTCAGTGTGTATGTTTTGAACTGCCTTTCAAATTGAATTGCTGTTGAGAAATCTGTGTGTATCTATCAGTGAATTTGAAGGACAAGCATATCATTATAGCCTTGTGATCCCATCCAACTGGTTACTTTGTCCCATTAGCGTATGTAGGGCCATTAGTTCCAATGTCTTAGCTCTGCATTTTTTTTGGCATTAGCCACTATATTAATTAAGGAACTCATAATGTGTCTAGTTTGAATTCTTTTCTCAGTCTACAAAGGTCAGAAGAATTGTACTTATAATTTCACTCCTATGCCTATGAGCTAAGAATGTTTATAGACCCTACCTGGTCACAAAAATACCTGTAAAAGGTTTAAAAGTTATAGGCTTGCTTGTTTTTTTCAGAGGATAGGTCTTATGAGAATGTGTCAAAATATGTTTCTTTAAGGTAAGAGCTTTATGATAGCTTTAATAATTACCTAGTACCAAAAATAAATTATAGTTTAGTTGGTAAAGGCAACAGGGAAGAGTGAAGGGAGGTGAATGATGGAAACAAGAAAATCTGCCTTGAAGGCCGTATAGTTAGAGGGCAATTCAGGACACCCAGAGCAACATAAGCAAGGTTTGTGTGTGTAGGTTACTAATCATTATAGTAGAACATCAAATAAATTCCCTTGGAGAATCAAAAGAGCAGGTTTATCCATGTTTTTACTAGCCTAAATCTTGGCATTTTCCCAAGTCATACAATAGTCGGTGACTAACGTTTATGATAGTCAAAACAGGATGATCCTCACATTCCCCCCCCCCACCCCCGGTAGAACTTAGCACCAAGCAGGAACCTACAATTCATTTTAAATAAGAAACTATCATAAAGTTTTATAATGTCTTCGATTGGGAAAAACATAGGCTGCTATGGGAGCACATGACCCAAGCACTAAAGGAAATGTTCAAGCTGATTCATAAAGACAGAAAAGAGCCTAGGGATAGGAGGGATGATGCAAGCTGTATAGGAAAGAATATAGCATGAAGGAGGGCCTGGAGAGGGGGAAAACACTAGCACCTTTGAAGAATTGAAAATAGTTCATTGTTTGGAACATGAATGTGTGTACCTGTTTGAGTGTGCCTCTATGCTTGAGGTGGGTAATTACACAGATAGCATAAGTCTTGTAATAAAGCTGGAGAGCTAGACAGAGACCAGATCAAAAAGAACCTCATAAGTCATCTGAACTAACAGTGTGACTGGACACTCAAAGCTTTGATTCTGGTTGGGATATTGGGCTATCAGAGACTTATTCTTCTGCCATAAAGAATGATAAAAAACTGGGAAAGTATTGGAAACAACTGTTTCTTGGCATTGGACCACAGACACAGGACTGTGTCCCTTGAAGGAATAGAAACCAAAAGATGAGCTTCAAATTTGCCCCAGTTTTCTCCCTGGGGACGCTTTCCAAACTGCGACAAAATAAAGCGGAGCCAGAGAGCAGCAGTCAGGGTGGAGGGAACAGAAATCAGTATTTTAGCTACTGAGCCTGCTGCAGTTTTGGGGGAGGATTCTGGAGAAGAGGGAGCTTCACAGAGAAGTGTCTCCAGAAATCTACAAAGGGGTTTCCCTGAGTCCTTGCCCAAATACCACACTGCATCTGTGCAGGGCAAGTCTCTGCATGCCCTGGCCAAGAGTGGCTGTGGGACAGCTGTGGGATAATGGAGAGTCCAGAGGTGCCTGGTGCTAGAAGATATCAGAGGCCAACCAGCCACAGTGGAGACACCATGCTGAGCAACTCAGGTGTTCAGCTGAACCTAGCAAGTCGACCTCCACACTTAGGAGAACTACTCCAGCTCTCGAGTGAGGACTACCCTGGAACTGCCATAACAAAGCCCAGAAACAAACCGGGAAAGGATAAAATTGATCCTCTGTACATAAACTGCCTACCAGAACAAAACTCAACATTATTGAAAGGAAGACAACAAAATCTATACTCTCACAGCTTGGCATCCATTTATCCAAACAAATATTACTAGATAAGCAAGAAGCAAGAAAATGTGACACTACACACCTAAGGAAACACAAGTCAATAGGAACAGATCCAAAGATGACAGAGATGTTGAAATTAGCATACAAGGCCTTTAAAACGTAATGAGTAAACAAATGCAGAATCTCAGAAAAGAAATGGAACTACAAAAAAGGAACTGAGTGGAAATTCTAGACCTGAAAACAATATGATAACAAAAATTTTTTGAAGGGGTTAACAACAGATTGGGTACTACAGAAGAAAAGATCAATGAACTTGAAAATGCGTAGACATGCTACAGAGAGGGAGAAAATACTGGGAGAAAATACTTGCCTTCTCTGTATGTATCTGACAAAGGACATGTATATGGACTATATAAAATACTTCAAATGAGTAATAAAGAGTCAATCCTATAAAAATGGGTAAAACACTTGAACAGACACTTCACAAAGAAAGGTACACACATATCCAATAGGCCCTTGAAAGAGCCCTCAACATCATTAGTCATCAGGAAATGAAAATTAAAACCTCAATGTGCTACCAGAATGTACCCTGGAGAATTATTAAAATTAAGACGGACAACACCGAATTCTGGCAAAGATGTGAAATAACTGGAACCCCAACTCATTCTTGGGGGTAGTATAATATGGCAGAACTATTTTGGAAAATTATTTAGCTATTTATTATAAAATTAAACATAAATTTATGACTCAACAGGTACTACCCAACAGAAATGAAAACATATCTACAAAAAGACCTCCATAAGCCCCAGATGGAAAGAACTGATAGATTATATTAAATAAATCAAGGGAATGCTAAGTAACAAAAAGGAATGATTGATATAGCTAAGACATGTGGGGATCTCAGAAGTATTGTATTGAGCAAAAAAAGAAGCCAGGGGCGCCTGGGTGGCTCAGATGGTTAAGCGTCTGCCTTCAGCTCAGGTTGTGATACCAGGTTCCTGGGATTGAGTCCCACATCAGGCTCCCTACTCAGTGGGGAGTCTGCTTCCCCCCTCTCCCTCTGCCTTTCCCCCTGCTTGTGCACTCTCTCCCTCTCTCTCTCTCAAATGAATAAAATCTTTAAAAAAAAAACAAACCAGATAACAAAAATAGACATACAGTATAATTCCATTTATGTGAAGTTCTAAAACAGACTTAGTGTGTGGTAATAGCAGCAGTAAGAACAATGATTGCTTTGATGGAAGAGATTGTCCAGGATTGGGAGGGGGTGTTGGGGTAGTGGTCTCTCTTGATCGGGGTATGGGTTAGATAGATGTATGCATTTATCAAGACCCATGGTGTTCACTTAATATTTATGCATTACACTCTGTAAAGTAATCATCAATTAAAAAAATGACCCATTTCCCCTCTTCCCTCCCCCTCCCCCAAAGAAGAATGTAAGTTCAGGAACCAGACTGCCTTGGTTCAAATCCTGATTCTGACATTTACACACTACGTGGCCTTGAGCAAATTATGTAATCTCTCTGTTTAGTGTTCTCATCTATAAAGCTGGGATACTAACAGTACCTAATTTAGGGTTGTGAAGATTAAATGAGTAAACGTATGGGTACACTTCAGACAGTGCCTGGGATAGAATAAAAGCGTAATGACACAGGTAATGAAGAGAACGGGTTTTGTTTTAGGATTAACTGTAGTCTGGTTCCCCGAAAGTTGGTAAGTTAAAAGTGGTGTCTTGAGGAACTATCTGTTACCAGAATGTATATCAGAACCAACCTCTATACGTGGCTTGGTCTCTTGCTTATTGTTTTAGTGGAAAGAAAAAAAGAGTGGTATCTTTTGGGCAGTGACCAGCTCTATGGCTTTGTTCAGGTTACTTCATTCCTCTGGTTCTACTCTCTTCATCTCTTAAGATAAGGAAGTTGTATTATGTTAGATGAGTGACTTTTTACTGTTTGGGAATTATATGCCCCTTTGAGAATCTGATGAAGACCTTCTAGAAAAATGTCCCTAATGCACATACACAGAGAATTTTGTATACTAATAGATATCAGGGGGCGCCTGGGTGGCTCAGTTGGTTAAGCGACTGCCTTCGGCTCAGGTCATGGTCCTGGAGTCCTGGGATCGAGTCCCACATCGGGCTCCCTGCTCAGCGGGGAGTCTACTTCTCCCTCTCCCGCTCCCCCCTCTCGTGCTCACTCTCTCTCTCTCTCAAATAAATAAATAAAATCTTTAAAAAAAAAAGAATCAGACGTTTAACTGACTGAGCACCCAGGTGCCCCTAAAAGAAAACAAAAACAAAAAAACCCTTAATTTTAAAAAGGAAAGCAACGGGGCACTTGGGTGGCTCAGTTGGTTTAAGCGACTGCCTTCGGCTCAGGTCATGATCCTGGAGTCCTTGGATCGAGTCCCACATCAGGCTCCCTGTTCAGCAGGGAGTCTGCTTCTCCCTCTGACCCTCCCCCGTCTCATGCTCTCTCTATCTCATTCTCTCTCAAATAAATAAATAAAATCTTTAAAAAAAAAAAATAGATATCAGTTGTTTTGTAACCTTAAAGTAATAATAAATGTGTGGTATTTGGGGGTTTTTTGTTTGTTTTTGATAAAAGTCAGTCTGGCTGACTTTACATCTTACAAAGGTTAATAAGAAACCTGTTATCAGTTGATTTGGGTTGGCTCCTTCCCCGTCTTTTGATCTTACAAAAACCGTGGGGACTTATGTGAACTTTGAAGAAAGGACTAATCCCCACCTGTGGCCCTAGATCCTCATGCCTGGTTCTTAGCTCGTGATTGTCCGTGGCTGCCACTGTCTAGGTGCATGGGGCTTTAAGTTGGTGGCTGCATAAGAGCTTTCCCATGCTCCCGGCTGGACCTGGCCGCAGTCCAAGGCTCCAGGGCTCACGAGCATGCAGTCGTCAGTGCCCAGGCCTCTGAGACACCCACACATGCATCCCCTTCCAAGGCCTTGCCACAGTCTGGCTTAGGTTTTCATCACCCTGCAGAACCTGAGACCTTTCTATTCCTAGTCCTCAGGAATCTGGGGGACTGACTTGTTCATCAGCCTCCTAAGCCCTGCCTCTGTTCTCTTCCTCTCATTCATACAGCGCAGTTTAATTTTGAAGATGGGCCTAGGTCTTGGAAAACCAAGAGCAGCCTAAAAATTCTCCTTTTTGTGTTAAAGCACACGTGACTTTTAACTTCCTGCTGAGCTCAGAAACGCCTAGGCGCACAGACCTAAAGCCTGGCAACATCTAGAAGGTCAGGAAGTATGTTATCCTAACGTGCTGTCTGATCTCCGAGGTCACTTGGAGCTGTGATTTGCTTGTGTCAGCCATAAGGAGGCCATTAGCTCACACAGGCAGGGGAAGTCTCAGAAACGCAATCAGCGTAGAACAGTTGGAGGAGGATGGGCCGAGATGTCAATTATAAATGTGGTGGTGTGGGCGCGCCTTAAGATGGAAGAAGGGTCTTAAAGGAGAAGGTGAAAGCCAAAGATTGTACTTTCTTAACCTGAACTCCCGTGTCTGGGTGTGACTGCAGTCGGCTTCAGCATGCCATAGATGAGCAGAGGGTGCTGCTTTTCACCGTGGGGCCTGTAACCCGACTGCTCACGCCCATCAAGACCGCCAACCCCCAAGGGCAATCCAGCCTGACGGATGAGAGACTTCTCAGTTTAGTTCATGTTTACAGAGCAGGATGCTGTCTGTGCGGCTCCTTCATTGTCTAGAAGATCAGCAGGCTTCGGGGGAGTTGCAGTGATCTCTTTAGTTTGTCACATCGAGAGTAACATCACAACCTCTTTCTTTTTTTCCTCTGTTGACAGAATAACACTGATGGACTTCATGAACTTGCCTGTGGGGGCTTAATTTATTGCCTGGGAGTTGTGTTCTTCAAGAGTGATGGCATCATTCCCTTTGCCCATGCCATCTGGCATCTGTTTGTGGCCACGGCAGCTGCAGTGCATTACTATGCCATTTGGAAATACCTTTATCGAAGTCCTACAGACTTTATGCGGCATTTATGACCAATCTGGACTAGGTCTCGAAACCAGTATTATTGCAATTATGGCACTTGGGAGTGGGGTAAGAGCTGAAAATTGCACAGAGGAAAAAAAAAAAAGACAACTGCACTGACTTTCTTTATATCTTTTGAATATAATTACTGTGAAAGTATAAAAGCTGTGTTCTGGAATGTTTCCCTTCACAGCAGATAAATAAGGTAGTGAATTAATTATTCATTCCATTCCACTATCATGAAGGACTCCGGATAGACTTGGCCAACTGATGTTTACAAAACAGAATTTTGTATTTTAATTTTACAGGTTTTACTACATGATTTTTCTAAATTACTAGGTCAGATTGTAAGTCAGTGCAACAACAAAGCTTCCTTTTTAAGAGAAAATTGTTTCTATCACTTTCCCATTAACTGTGTGAAGAATCATGGACAGAACTTACACTACTTTTACCATGTTTCATCTTGGCATAACATGGTTATTTTTTAAATAGAAATTTTCATTTTTTGTAAATTTTTAAAGACAACTTCATTGAAGCGCATCTCTGCGGTTCCTCATTCACGTGAATTTTGCAGCAAGCTGTCAACATTCCATAAACGAACAAACATTATACCTCTTCTGATAGTTTTCTTAAGCATAGAGAAATTGCCAATTTTTAAAAATTGCGGTTTTCCAAACTTTTCTGCCAACCTCTGACTCTGAACTCCATGCTGCTTTGGGCCATATACTTGACCTAGTTTGGTTTACCAGTGATGGAAAAGTATTTTGATATCATTAACTTTTTCAAAAGATGCAACTTTTTCTCTATGCCTTTGCCATGTTTTCTTCAGGATCTCTTTCAACAGTGGATGAGTATTCACATCACATTATGATGGTGTTGTTGGAGTGGTCATCCACTGAAGGCTCCTGAAGAGTGTTATGAATTACAGTGAACAGTGGTATTGCCTGTCTGATGCCCCTCGGTTAAGTCATTGTCACTTAGCTTAATATTATCAGTTTGATACTCATTTTCAGTTGTGGAATTAGACGCACAAATTCACATTCCCATCTTTCCCCTGTACCTCCTGATAGAGTTTTTTCTTTTCCATAGAAGAATATTTAAAGCGTTGTTTGGCAGATAGAAACATGTATCTGTAGTTCATGGGTTGTATCCTGGCTCAGTGGAGTGGTATTTAATATATTATTTTTGGTTTTCCTTCAGTGTCTTATATTAACATTAGTTGTTTTGTTTATTAATCTCCTGTTGGTGTTTTAATAAATGAAATAACCTTGCCTTTAGATCCTTGCTGATACCGACTGCTAGATTTGGGTTTCATCAGTGGAATAGTTGGCTTGACGACACATTTAGGCTTATTCATTGAAATTTTGTACCATTGTGGCTTTGAAAGAGGGTTTATTTTGGGTGTGCATATTTAGAACTCCCTGATTTGGGTGAATTACATGGGTATAAAGAACAGAGGAACTGGTATTTGCTGGTAAATTCTTAAATAGGCAAGGTGCCCAGTGATCACACCAACCAGAGCACCCCTATCTGCATGATTCTGAACATCCTGATGCCTGTTGTTTTGTGTATATTCTGTTTTTAATATATTAACTTTTGTGGATTCATTTAAAGTCTGCTCAAAAGTAACACTGTCGAAACCACTAAAATGTATGTAAAAAATTGTGCTGTAGACTAGAATAAAATTGTTACTTGGATTTGTTCCACTGTCTCTAAATTAGATGACTGTGAAGATGATAATGCATGTCTGAGAGCTTGAGCTCATCTAGCATTGTAATTTGTATACTAGCCTTTTTTTTTTTTTGGAAAGTCAGGACAGAACGAGAAACAAATGCGCCCTGTCATCTAGAACTTTCTAGTCCACTTTTAAATAATTGAAATGCCAGAGCCAGCTCAGACATTAAAATCAGCACACGTTTTCAGTTTAAAATATGCTAGTTGGGGCCTAAAGATTGTAAATTTTATAAATGATGTATCTTTACCAAGAGAATCCTTTTGATTTAGTTTATAGACTATACCGTAGGACTGAGGTTACACAGTTTTCTATTAGCAGCCAGACACACATCATATTGCAAACGAAGTGAATGTTCGATGCCGTTCTCCCCCTTTCTACAGAACAGGAAGCAGAGTCGGAGAGGTCTGACTCCTTCCTCCAGAGTCAGGGAGCTGGGACAGGAAAGCAGGTCTCCATATACACAACTGCATTTTCAAAGTCAGCAATAACAAACCAAACTTGAACTGAAAATTCATTTAGCATGGACGGCATTTAGAGCCTCAGTAAACCCTCAGGCAACCCTCCATCAAACCTAATTTTGAAGACCGAGTATCTTAAAGCATTATTATTCCCTATAATTCTGTCCTCTAGTCCACCAGGGTAACCTCATCTATTTCTAGAGCATCCGCCCACTCCTGTGCTCTCACCTTCCTGATCAATATCTTCAGCCTAAAACTATCTTCTAAAGACCAGACCTCTCTCATCAACTGCCCAGATGCCCCTCGGCACATTTCACTCAGCCTGTCCCAGATTGAGTTCATTATCTTCTCTTCTTCCCCCACCACCAAGCTCATTTCTCTGAAGTTCCCTGTCTCAGTTCAGGCCATGGCCAGAGCCTCCCATCCATCCTTGATTTGTGTCACACTCAGATCCAAGTAGTCAGCCAGAGCTGTCCCCTCTGCCTCAATCACAACTTCCTGATCTGCTTGCTCACAACCCCCTTCCCTCTGCAAGGCCCTGCCAAGCCCTCGCGAGCAGCCCTCAGACTGCTGTAGCCACCTCCGCTGTACCCCTGCCCCCGGGTACACCCCCGGAACGAGCGCGGCCACCACACTTCAACCAGCATTACCATCCCAAAGTAGAGTCAAGCATGGCTCTCCCCTGCTTTAAAATGTCCACTGACTCTTAGCCTCTGCGACTCAGGCCAGCCCCCCGGTGTCTTCATGTGCCAACTCTCATCCTCCCTCCCAGACTAAAGCCCCACAGTGAGTTTCACAACCTACCCCCCAACACTGTGCCCTCCTGGTGCTTTTGCAGCTGCTGTTCCTCAGCCTGGGATGCCCTTCCGCAGCCTTTCTCCTACCCTGGGCAACATTTCCTCATTCCCAACCGCCATCAGAGGCCCTCCCCTTTGACTGTATGGCACTGATAGGGTGGCCCCTGTCACACTGCGTTGGGATTGAGTTTGCTGCTCTGCTCCCAGGGCTGACCTCCTTCAAGGCAGGAGTGAGTCTCCTCCACCTCTGTCCTCAGCCTGTGGCGGAGCAGTGGGCTCACCGTTCGGGAGGGAAGAGGGCGGGTTGGAGGAGAGAGACTGACAACGAAGTGGTCTGGACCGAGCACCTCTTGTCGGTCATGAATACTGTAGCAGGCTCTAACTGCCTGCCGGGAGCCTACTTCTAGCTTCCTTGGCCTTACTGGCTTCCCTGACCGAGGGTCAGCTAGAACGTTCATGGCAACCACAGGAAAGTTGATGAGTAATTGTCATGGAAATCCTAGATAGTGTATCCTAAATAAGGGAAAACACCAGCCTTATTTATTGAAGCTTCCAGAGAACCAACTATCAATGATTTATAAGGCTGGAAAATTACCTACCTTACTTCCCTCGGGTCTTCTTTTTCTGAACATATTAGTAAAATAAAAAAAATAACACTCAGTTCTGCAACCCTTGAGCCTTAGTGTAGATTACACTCAAAAAGCGGCAACTTTAACATAAGGTTTAAATACTATTTTGTATATCTTTACTCTGAAAATATATAAAACACTTGGGAAAATAGAGCACAGAAAAATTTTAAATCACCCAGAGTTCATTCATCCTAATACGTTTTCATGTATTTCCTGTAAATATGCCATATATGTGATTTTGTATACTGTTTTTTCCCCCACTTATTTTATAAACATTTACAAAATATTATTACATAGTTTTCATAGCCAGAATTTTCAGTGGCTCCACCTTTTTTTCTGGACTGGAGATATGCAGCCTATTTTGCTTAATCGTTCACTTAGTTTTGGATTTTTAGGTTGTGATACTAGTGCATAGCTTTGTCCATATTTATGATTGGGTCCGTAAGGTAATGATAATAAACAATTGAGGGCTTCCCATGTATTGGGGACTGTGCTGGTTTGTACGGATTATCTCATTAGACCTTTACAAAAATCCTTATGGGTAGATAATTTTATTATCCCCATTTTACAGATGAGAAAACACAGATGAATGAGTTTCCTTGTCCAAGGTAAGTGGCAGAACTGGATCGAACCCAGGGGGCCTGGAGTCTGTTTTCATTCTCAGGAGTGCAGTTCCTGATTAAAGGTTTATTGATGGGTCTACCCAAAGGAAGACCTCTTAAAAATAAAACTTGTACTCCAAACCTCCGCATTTTGAGTGGGTGTCTTTGGGTTGTGTCTACTCTTCTCCTATGGCAGTTAGAGGAAGAGTAGAATAGGAGTATCTCCAGATGAAACTGACCACGAAGAAGCTGGTTCCCCTCCCTCCTCGTGAAGCAAAATAAAGTTTCCCAAGAGGGCCCAAGGAATGTTTTTAGTTTAACAAGGTTAGAATGACTGTGTTCGTGTTTTTCTGCTGCTTTTGCTATTTTAAACTGATAGTGCCAACATGTTCTTACGTTCTGTGCCATTCCCACCTACATCCCTGCGATGGATTGGTGATGTTATTTTTCCCAGAAACAGTGCCACTGTGTACTCCAACCACTTCGCAAGGGGAGTTCAGCTATTCTCATCAGGGGCCTGTTCAACACAAAAGAACACTCTCCTTCTCCTACACAGCTCATTATCACTCAGACTTTCACTGCAGTCAGAAGGCTTAAGCCGAAATAGACTGACCAGGCTTACTGGGGCCTTGGGAAAATATGCTTTGGAGGCTTACCTCATCTCCTCGGAGCAGTCACAGGTCTTCTTGTCATTCTGTGCCAGGCCAAACTTGGTACGCCCAATCAAATGTGTCCGTTACTGAAAAAGTCAGGAAAATGTATTGATCAAGAGGATTTGCTTCTGTTAAAATCAGAAGTGTTTTCTGAAGCCCATCTGTGAGCTGTGTGTTGAGTTGGTGTGGAATCATCAGCCAGCCTATGACAGATTGGGTGAGCTTAGGCAAGTTACGGGTTACCTCTGAGCCTCAATTCCTATCTGCAAAAGGGGTATAGCACTTCCCTCATAGTGCAGTCATGAGGATTGAATAATAAACCAAAAGTGTCTAGTTTATTGCATTCTGGCATATGATTGGCATCAGATAAATGTTAGCTTCCTTCCCATATGGCCAAGCTTTTAAAATTATGGTTATAGCCCACCTGCAGAGATTTTTCATGCAAAAACAACCTGAAGGAACAGTGTAGTAGCACTCAAAAAAAAAAACTTGTGCATCTTTTAACCGTTAAAAATGGCCCCGATCAACCTCTGGCCAAGGCTATACTAGATGTGGTCACCACAGGCTTTCTAATGATTTTGTGCCCTTTGTAGCAAATGTTCTTTAAATATTCACAGAATTTCCTGAGACAGAGGCTGAATACTGCATGGAAAATGGTGGAAAAGGAAGAAGCTGGGCAGTTGTCCTTTGGTGCCCAGATGGGAACATGCATATTCCACTTAGACCAAAGGCCTTTAGTTAATTGGACCCGCACTCTTTGGACAGCAGTTTGGTCACCATCTGCTGTTATGTGAGTGTGCCTCTTGGGAGACTCACCCACTAGACCAACCCTTAGTGGCTTATGAGAGAATTATTTCTAACTACAGTGCTGTCATGTCTTCTCCATCTCATGTCTTACCCAGTGATATTGTAGGGTCCCCTAGTCATACATTCATTTAACAGATATTTTTTGGGTATCAGGTATGTGCCATGGACTGGTCTAGACATTGGGGATGATGCTGTAATGAAAAACCAAACCAACCAAACCAAAACAAAAAACAAAACAAAAACCCCTGCCTGTTGCTATGATTCTCTGCCCTTCCTCCCTTCATCTGGATTCAAGGCTGGATATGTTTTTGCTGATCTGGTTTCTGGCACTATCCAGATTCCTGTGCCTGGGGAACTCCAGTGCAAAGTATGTGCAGACAAGGAGTAAGTATGTGTGGACCTAAATAACTAGCCTTTCACCAGACGTCCCTAACTTTGTGCACAAGTCTGCTGCCCTGAGTTCGAGTTCCCTGCCTGATGCAGCTCTTGCCTTGGAGAACACTGAAGAAACTCATCATTTAAAAGGTCCCCTGTGGGAACACTACATCTAAAACTAATGATGTAATGTATGGGGATTAACATAAGAATAAAAAAAATAAAAATAAAAGGTCCCCTGTGCTAAACTCCACCTGAAGGACAACGCTCTATTCAGCAGCGCATTTGTTCAAACCCATCAGATTCCTTTGAAGCAGGTGTTACCTAGCCTCCGGGGCAGGAAATGATGAAGGAGAAACTTCTGTTTGGGCCAAGATGTTTTCCTTTGTTTACAGTATCTGGGACGTCTATCCTGCCTCCTCCACCCCCTGTCATTCACCACAATCCTGCCGTGTGTCAATACATGTGTCCGTGGTCGGGAATATGGTACTGAGTAAGTCTCTGCCCTCCCAGGCTCCCCAGTCTCCTGGGGAGGACAGACTGGAAACAAATTAGCAATTATAATGCAACATAATCACCGTGTTTGTATTGGATGCTATTATTGGAGGAGGAAGTAATTAACTCTCCCCACCGGGGTCAGAGTCCTCC